TCTTATGAAGACACAACCCGCTGAGCTATTCATGCGCAATATGTACATCATAGGCGTCGTTTGCTTTGTCGTCACCACCATATCATCCAATGTATGGGAGGTGTACGGCGCTCTGCTTGCGTTTGAGGTCATTTGCAGTTTGTGCTTTCCGGCTATGGGTACCATGCGAGCAAAGTATGTTCCCGAGGTCACCCGATCCGCCATTATGAACTACTTTCGTCTTCCTTTGAATCTCATAGTCTGCCTCATTCTGTACAAAAACTATGGGAATACCACCGTCTTCTGCCTGTGTGCCGTCATGATGGCCATTGCCGTCATATGCCAACAGCGCCTTTTCAGTGCTTCAAAAGTCTCCATCGGCACCAAAGATGAATGGACTAGAGAAAAGCGCGCAGAACTCGTCGAAGAGGGCGATAGCACTGTTGAAGATGCTGTGCGGTAAATCAACTTGCCCGCCTACCCCCCCCCCCCCACACACCCATACTATCGTGGGCTTCACCTGGCAAAACATGCGCTGCTTCTGAGACAGCTCTGTGGCAAAAAAAGGCTCGCCACAATGCTCGGAATTTAGAGATGCGAGTTGGTAGTACGCAGTAGAACAGTGGAGCGTAATGTGGTACCCTAGCAGATTTTATATAAATGAATGGTGGGTGGATGATCGATGAATGTTCCATGAATTGCCAGGCAAATGGTTTATAAATGGTCACTCATCAGCCGCAAGGAGGCTCATAGACTTGAAAAAATAAAAGGTCTGTCATCAACCAAATGTGAGTCAATCATGGCTCTTCAAGGACCAATGGCGGACCGTTCAGGAACCAATGGTCAATTTTCGGACCTGCAATCTAGGCATCTGGTGGGTCATTCTGAGCTCCACGAGATGTCCAATGGCGGGTCGACAAATGTATCTTCTGACAATTCCCGCAATGTCGCCTCAGGCGTTTCAGTCGTACTATTTGTCAGATTCTAATTGGATCCCGCATCGAATTTGAGGTTTTTATTTTTCATATCGCAGACACTCATGGTCTTCACTCTCACGTTGAGATCTGTATCCATTGCCACGAGCCGTCACTTTTGCCGTCCTTCAAAACCCTGCTGCTGTTGTCAAAAAGTACATTTTAGCGAACCCCCTGTAAGGTCTTTCTCGATGTACGGTCAAGGAGACAATCTATAGATCGTTGTGGATCTACGAAGTATGTGCGGAAGCCTCGACGTTTGTTAGTTGTCTTCATTTCTTTCTGTACGACAAATACGTGCCTAGAAATAACGTCTATTCCTTCAATCGAAGTTGTCGGAAACAGATTCGGGTCATCACGCTTCAGCCTCGAGAAGACTTGTCCTTGCGAACCCTTACGCAAACCCGATGGGACCCAGCTCCCCATCACCAAGAGAAACTTATCATTTCGGGAGCTCCTGATTACTGAGTGCTCGAGGAAACGCACAATTTTTCCGTAAAACACAAGAACTGGAGAATGCTGTGAGCCCCATGATGAGAAGGAGGCAGAAGTCGATGTACCATTGTCTAAGAGGAACTCCGCGGCAACATAAAAATTTCTTCGTCTGTTTTCCCCGTCACATTGCCTTTCCACACCAACATATGTTACTCGGGCCTCATCTTCAAACCGATTTTCAAACGTCATTCTGTTTCAAAGCGTGATATTCTCGTGTTGAGCCACGAGATTTGCAGCAGCACTTTCGTCCAACCCAAGTCGTTGCTCGTAGAAACGTTCTAGCATTCGTCGCACATCCATCCCACATATTCTGCTGAATTCTGTTACTGTAGAGATTTGCTTAGGGTGACACAGTAGCAAACCCTCAAAATCAGGTATGTTGGACCTTGCCATCATGGCGCTTGAAGGTAAATGCCTTTCACGATTCAGGATGCCACTTCTTTTGGGGCTTCTTTCGGGGCTTGTTACATATTTCTTGATGCGATGCAATTTGTACGATTCAAGGAACTTCCATGTCTCCAAAACGGACTCCGCAGCTAAATGTTTGGCTGTGAGGCCATGAACCGTTTCCCCGATGAATCTTTCTATCGGAAATTGTGAAACATTAACAAGAGGTCCTGCATCCAGTACTGAATTTTGCAGATGGAGTAGTAAGTGGATAGTGTATTTGCACACATGAAGACGGTCCTCTAGTCCGCCTTAAAAGTAGTCCTCAAAAAACCGAATGAAGCGCTGGGCCAGATCTCCCAAACGCTCAACATCGGTAGATGAAAGAACGGGCGCAAAACATAGGTCCACTAATTCCACAAACGATTGCAACCCGTTTAGGACAACAGTAGGTAGCACGTCATCAAACGCTACGAGCAAAATGTTGTTGACAAAAAATCTCCACTCCGCCGCTTTGTACATTCTCCTTAGCTTCAATGGTCGCGGACGACGCACCTCGGACGGAACTCCACTTCCGAACGAACAAATAAATCTCTCAATTCTTTTCAGTTCAGGTGATGTAATCAATCCTGACGACAGTATAAGGTCCATGAGCTGACTCGGGACGTTCAAAAAGAGTAAATGCATGACATAAACCGGGCAACTCCTATACATTTGTAAGTGATCCAGCCGGCGAAACAATTCCGAACATCCGTTGATTCCGTGCTCTCTTGATAACCTCTTTCTCTCCCCAACAGACCCCCTGATACAGGAAGTACGCAATCGTTCAATGTTTTCAATTGCATTCTTGGTATCCTCCAAATCACGCATTGGAAGCTCATTGATGTCGTACAGGACTGTTTTTCGCGTGCTATGCATTATGAAGCTCGGGTAATACACATGTCGACTCGAAACATCTGTAGAACTAGTCTGAAGGACCCCCCTGATGACGCAGTATCGACATGGCACGTAGCTGTTGTGCCCTTTTAGGGAGCACATCTTACTGAGAGCAGGTAGATCTCCTTCGACTAGGAGAGCATGGCAACGAACCATAACCTCAGTCCCATCCCAAATCTTGCAACGTTTTCCGCTTGCAAGGGGTTCCATCTCGTCCAGGCATGGGCTCAGGAATGATATCAAATCCGAAGGCTGGTGGGGCCCAGGGATGCAAAGGAGAGGAAGAATGTTCTCAACGGAGACTCGATCAGATGGTGGGAGATTGGCTATGAGGAGAATGAAGGGCCAGAAGCCGTATGCTGATGACCGATATGGCTGTGCCCCGTCGCCACAAAGAATCAGAAAGATGTCATGCCGAATTGCATCTGCACCACCCAGATTCATCATGGTTTCGCGGAATAGACGACCAGAAAATACATCACGGTACTCCTTGTCACCTTGGAAAAGACGAGAGACTTCGTCTCGGTAATATTCAAACATTTGAGGTCCGAAATGAGGACTTTGCAATCGAGCATTGAGTCGCTCCCACACAACAATATATTCGAACGTTCTAGTAGCAAGGCTGCAATTTTTGGCGTCACATTTTTCCAGTGTACCGGTTTCATCAATACTGAGGTACTTGTGACCATTAGAGCACATGTAATGTGTTGAGACTGCCAGGTCCTCCATGCGATGGAGGGCTTTCTTCACGCGGAGGCTGGGCAGTGAGAGAGATCATCCGAGGAAAACTGATCAGCATCAAGGAGAAAACCCGAAAGGAAAACATATGGTCAGATAATTTTGATGGGTCTACTTTTGATCCCTCCACTTGCATAGAAGTTGATTCGGATGATCAAACCGCAAGTGATATTGTTGATGAATGTTGCGCTGTGCACCCTGTGGACATAATCTGCAATGAATGTGAACAAATTGATGACGTCGAGATTCCGGAACACATTCGTCTTGCCCGGGATGGAAATTGCAGACAACCAGGCCGATCAAGTGCAAAGAGAGCAAAAAGAGAGACGGTCAGTAGATACAATGCTGATAAACACGGATCAGTCATAAAAAAGACGAAAGGGAGGTTAAAATTACGTACAGGCACTTCGAGGCATAGCACCACCCGCCCGATCGTGCGTCAGCGTCGAGAGGTACCGTGGTTGAATTCTGATGGCGATAACAGTGGAGAAAGGGATAGTGAAAGTAACAGTGATGAGGAAGAGAGCGACCACGAGCTTCTTCCAAAGAGAAGGAGATCCACTCGAAATACTCGGCTTTGATACGCAGAGTGCGATTCATATTAGGTGGGATTCTAGTAAACTTGCGGACGCACTCACATGCTAATCATTGATCTTCATTCTCACTATCATGGCGTAGTGTGATGATTCATGGAGGGAGCTCAATTTCACTCGCTAAACTGATGGGGGCGGTGACCGTGCCCATGGGATCTCATACCTTCGACGACGTCGACGTCGCACGGCATGACCTGTACGAAGCAGATGCACATGGTGCCCGGCTTGGCCACATCGGAAAGGGCACAGTCGCTCCCGCGCCGCTTGATTGATCGTGATGAGGCACGTCGGATCAGGCATTCTTGGGGGATAGGGAGCCAAGGGCGGCAGGGAGGGGTAGGGGAAGGACGGATATCTTCACACGAAGGGATACGCGGGATGCGGCACAGCGGGGAAGGTGTGAAGGGTCTTGGTTGGATCAATTGGGGGGCCTTGAAGATACGTGTGTATATTTGGGCAGAGGTGTCACACGTGTGCACCTCGCTGCTGGGCGGCGCCCTGGTGGAGAGGGACATGCGCGAGGGAGGGCGGGAGAGTTACGGCAGGGCGGGTTGCGGGGAGCTCAGGTGGGAGGAGTGGCGGCTTTTGGCGCGGTGGCGAATGCAGACATGGCTCCCTCGCAGGGTGTAGATGCTAACTGCGGTGCTTGAAGGTGCAGTTGGCTCTTTTGCTTTTAGGTTACTTTTGTTCCTCCAGCCTGAAGCGAAAAGTGTTCATTGCTGTGATCCATATTGTTTTTTAGCTGTACATAGAGTAGGATTGGTCAAATGCACGATATTATATAATTGGCACCGC